TTGCGCCTGCCTGTTTGTCTAGTTGTCTGCCTGTTGGCTTGTCTGTTCGGTTGAATGCGGAGACATAAACACACCCCATAGGCAAAGGTTGCCGCAGGCGCAGGGACATAAACAACTCCTGGGGACCTTCCGACGCCCGTTGCTTCTCCACAGCTCTCGTCTCGTGGGGCGACCCCTTCCGCATGCTGTGCAAACACGAGGTGTGCTTCTTGGCTATTGTTCTCCTGTGCACACAACCTGTCCCAGTGAATCCATTCACCTGTCTTGTAGGCTTGCCACCCCTTGAAACCCAAAAGCGACATAGCGAGGGGTTACCTAGTACAAGGGCGAAATGCCTAAGATCCACTGGGTGTTGCTTCCCAGAAAAAAATGAAAACAAAGGAAAAAAGCAAGAAAAAGAAAACAGTGAAGAACTTGCCTGGGAAATCCAGTGCCCGGACGCGGCTCCCAGATGTTTATCACCGCCCCGATGGCACCCCTGGCGCGGGCTTTGGTTTTGGGTCCCCCGGCCAGTTGAAGAGCTGCTGTAGCGAGGAGATGAAGTCGCCCTGGAGCTCCCGCCACTCCTTCCGCGAGCGAACATGGGTAAGGGCGGGGGTTGGGATGGGGGTTTGGGTGGGGTGGGCTGGGGGTTTGAGTGGGGCGGGGTGGGTTGAGATGGGGATGACCCGGATTAATAAACCCCTGTAAGCTTGGTTGACATTAGGGGAGCAAAAATTCTCAAAATTTAGCAGTTAAGTGGTTGGATTTCAGCCACTAAACCAGAATAAGCAAAATGTAAAATGTTTCCCAACAACAACCATGTAAGGGTGGGGCGGGGTGGGGTGGAGGTTTGGGTGGGGTGGGGTGGGATGGGGTGGGGATGACCCCGGATTAATAAACCCTGTTTGGTGTCAAAGGGGGGACATGGGTAAGGGGATGACCCCAAATTAATTAACCCCTCTATTAGCAAGGGGGTGTTCCTGGACTTAGTGGGGATTCAGACCACTTTTGGAGGGGAACACCCCCCATATTCATAAACTGAGGTTGATGAATCGAGGGTCAACATTAAGGGGATAATCCAGATCAATGCTTGGCGGATTGACCATGTTTGGCCAAAGAAACAGAGAAACAGAAAGCCACTGAAAACTAAGATGGCGGGTGGATTCCTGGTGTGTGCGTTCTCCGCTCCGCGATCCATGGCGGTCGGCCGATGTTGGCTCGCGACAGCTTTTGGGGGGAAACAAAAACACCGGTTCGGACGGGTTTCCCGGAGACACAAAGTGAATGCCACACTCAGATGCCCAGTGGATTTTGATGGGAAAACCAGGGCACCCTTTTTTCTGTTGGTTGAGCTTGAAGGGGAACCGTTACCCAAAAAGGGAGGAGCAAAAAAAAGGCACCACTGGGCAACAGAGAACAGCAAACTTGCTTTCCAGAAAGCCAGTTTGGGCTAAAAGCCAATGACCGGCCGCCGTTCGGAACCGAGTCTGCCTGTAGTCTCATTAGTCTCAAGCTTCCCACTGGAAAAAAATTGCCCATCAAAGGGAAGACATCAGGGCTGTGGGAAATGACCGCTTGTGTGATACAACAAAATGGGCTTCCCAAAGACTCATCCACCATGAAAAAAGGAACAGATTCTGACACTTCGAGACTTCCACCAACCCACCCACCCCACCCCACCCCACCCCGCCCCACCCCACCCCACCCCACCCACCACCCCACCCACCCCACCCACCCCACCCACCGCAAAAGAAAGAAAAAAGAAAAGGTGTTCGTCCTCCATGAGGAGGCCGAAGACCTGGTCTTCAATCTTCTCCACGCATGCAGGCCTCAAGTTGAACTTGAGGCAGGCCAAACCATAGAGATGTGGGGTGAATTGTTTGAGGGTGCCCCATTTCACCTTGGTTTAATGTTGACTAAGGTCTGGCTGCTCAAAAGACCTGGTTGCTTGGAGTTACCAGGGACGGCCATGTACCTGCCATAATGTTGACCGCAGATTAACCAGCCCACTTCAGTTTCATAGGCGGGTGGGGGCCCCTCCAAAAGTGGTCTGATTCCCCAGTCAACCCATGGGAGAAGGCCCCCCTTAATGAACTGCATGGGGGTTATTCATATGAGGTCAGCAAAGGGAAAGCAACCGGGAAGCCAAACTTCTGGGGTCCCCTTCTTCCAGTCGCTGAGAGCGAGAACAGGGGGCAAAACAAATGCCATCATGCTCGGCAGAATCGCCTCAAAACACGCCGCGCTTTCGCGGATGGCGAATACCAACTGTCTAAACTAGCATGTGTTTCGTTGTTTTTAATTATTTTTAAGAAGGAGAAGGAGAAGGAGAAGAAGAGAACAAGCACAAAACACCACAGCCACCGGACTTCAGCCCCAAAAACAAACTTGGCGCGGACGCCTCGGTGTTTTTTCGCTCGTCGCTCGGGGTTCCGGGCAACTCCTGGAGCTTCACAGGCTCGAGCGGCTCGTCGGTGGCCTCGCCGCGGCTCCCATGCGAGCGCGATGGGGCGATGGCCAGCTGGAGCTCAAATGGAAGCCACTTGCCAAATGGGCCAGCCATGGGTAAGCCACTGGCCATTTTTTTGGGGGCAAGGGTAAACCCTCTACTTGGTTTCTCAGTAGGGAATGTGGGAATGTGGGAATGTGAGAATGGGAATGAAGTGTTTGGCGTTGGGGCCGAATAAAGGAAACCTCTTGGATGTTTTTTCCTGGTAATTACAATTCTTATTCTGCACTGAGCAGCAGCAAGCAAAGGGTCCCGAAGGCCACGTTGAAATGCCCCATGTGGCAGTTGCCCATGCGTAAGTTTCGAATCCCTTCTTGACCTTTCGAGGTGCCTCAAGGAATCGAACCTCTTTTTGGATGGATTAAAAAGGAAAACAGAAGGCAACCACCTGGAGGACTTGCTCCCCAAGCTTGAGAAACACCCCAACCCCTGGCAAATGGAAAGGACTAAAACCTGCGGTTTTTCCTGGACTTGACCCATACCCATTTCACACAACCGAGCTGCCCTCAGATCCCCCGCTCAAAGTTTAACTTTTAGCCGGCGAAATGGAAAACTAGCCACTAAACCGAACCCGAAAAAGATCTGAAAAGCTAAGGAACTGGCTGGCTGGGAGCCACCAAGATAAGGATGCCCCATAGGCCACACCCAACAAAACCCGCCTCCTCCGCGTCCGCCGCCGCCGCCGGCGCCGCCGCCGGGGGCGCCGCCTCGGGATCCGCGGCCTCCGCGGCCTCCGCGGCCTCCGCCGCGGCAGCCTCCGCTTGCGCCTTCTCGGCCTGGCGCTGAAGCCGACGCGTTTCGGCCTCGTGGATCTTCGGGTTGACTCCCCATTCTTTTCAACCATCGTTCTTTTGTCTTTTTTGTTTGTTAAAGAAGGATGCCTGGAAAAACCATATTTCATCTATTTTTGTTGTTTTTGTTTAAGAAGGATGCCTGGAAGGAATGGAGAACGTCATGGACATACTGTGGATGGACGAAATCCTGGACAACTCCACTGCCAATAGCCACAAACGATATGGTTTCAACCATGGCATCAAAGTGGTGCAGGAGTTCGTCCATCAACAGTAGGTGTCCTTTTGGCTCGAAATAGAGGGGTTTCCAACTGGAAAATGGATGGGCATAACACCCATCTAAACCAGTGGCTTTCCCATCCATTTCGCTATGCCGCTACGCTCACGGACTGGACATTTCGACGGCCCAAGAATTCCGCGGCCACAACAGCACGGCCTTGAAGGGAGAGACTTTCTCCGTAACATATTGGACGCACCTCAGATGGATCCAGAATAGGTGCCGTCTCCCTGGAAGGGATGGGACTCCAGGGCTCAGGCTTCAGGAATGAAGCTAGGGACACCCTCAAAGGTTCGCTACAAGGAATGAAGACAAAGCTGACAGAACTTCTTGGATCTCAGGGAATCCCGTGGCAACTTCCAGCAGCTCATCTTCTCCAACTTCTTCTGGCACAAGCCAATGCCCAGTTGCCACAGGTCAGGCTTGGATCAATGAACAAATGCTCTCTGCAACAATGTTCAAACTCTCCGTAGCTCTGACTCCGACGCTCGGAAAAGAGCATGACAGGCAGATGAAAGGCTGACACGTCTACATGTTGAGATACACTCCCACCATGTCCCACCCACAAATATGGCGATGAAATGCCACCCTCATGCCTAGTTAGCAAGAGTTGCTTTCTCCCTCTTATCAAAGCCGAAGGCTTTTGGGGCTGCCATTTTTTGGGCATGGTGTGCTGGGAACCCTGTATTCTTTCCAGTGTTTTTGGGGCTTGCGTGCAAAACATCTACGTTTCGCCGGGGGGGGGGGGGTTCGCGGACTCGCAGGATCTGCATCCCCGGCATCATCAGGATTATCTTGCTGCCATGAATTTGTCTCTTTTTCAAATGGTGTTTTGCTGAGTGATACGTTGAGGAACTGTTTGAAATTGCAAAAATGAGTGTTTCTTGCAATTCCCCACCTGTACAGAGCAGTTACTGCGAAACATCCCCTGCATTATCGGTCTTGGAAGTCAAATTTTAGGGTATTTGAGGGGGATTGCCGGTATCTGCTTTTGATGGTTGATTTTGGGGAATATCAAAAAACCCTGTTTTTATTGCACTTTTTTGTGGCCGGACGGCTGCATTCCCAGCATTCCCGACATTTCTGGTATTTTCTGGTTGGTCAATTTTGCGTGTCTGAAAGTCTTGAAATTTTGGATGCGAAGATTGGGTCTGTTCCTGTACGTTGTGTGGTTGCATCCCTTGCATGTCCAGCATCCCCAGCATCACTTCCATGAAAAAAATGAAAAAGGTCTTAAAATCCCTTGCACCCCACTGGCGTCGGCGAATCGTAGCGATTTCAACAAATATGTAGAAGCAAAGACATCCCCAAATTGTCAAGTCCCCAGTAATCCCGCACAGGGTTCCACGTTTTTGACTTCCCCAAGATAGACTTCAACCCATGGTTCCCCTTTTGGGGGTAATAAACCACCCCTGGGTTGAAGTCTACCTAAAAGGCAATGGACCTGGTCGTGCCCATCTAAGTTGGGGCAGTCCACGTCCCAGATACCACCGACACGTCCGGCTAAGTCTAACCTGTCAAAAAGTGGAACACCCCACCCCACCCCAGCCCACCCACCCCAATCCCAAGCCATCCCAAGCCGAGTGGGCCCCACCTCGGCCGCTGCCCTGGCTTCCTCTGCCTTGGCTCGCTCCTGGCTTGGACTCAAAATCTGCCGCTGATCCGCGGGGGAAAAAAAAAACTGGCCGGGAAGCATTCAGGCATTCAATGCACATTCCAGCGAATTCATCGATTCATGGATTCATGGAAATTAGGGGATTCACACATTCACCAGGTTTAAACATTGACAATTTCAATTTCATGCAAATTCCTACGAATTCATGGAAATTATCGGATTCACACATTCATCAGGTGTACACATTGACACTTTTGCACACACACACACACAGAGAGAGAGAGAGAGAGTGACTTGTGCTTCTCTGTACTTCATGGCGCTTGTGGTGTCAAGTGACATCAGCTTGAAACAACTCGGCTTTCGGAGATCTCAATGTCAGCTTCGGATACCTGAACATCCATTTCAACTAGGTCGCGCACCTGGCAAAGCTTGATTTGTGCGGAAACTCCCGAGGGTGCCAAATTTTGCATTGGGTGAATTTCACTTCAACCTCAACAGCAAATAAGTACGTGTTAAGCAAATAATGAATCTAGTAATTAGGTTGCACTTAGGCACCAGCCAGAAAACACTGAAACTTGCAAAGCATCAAGGTGTTTGAACAAGAGTTGTAGCAACTATCGTCATGGGCTCTGCAGAAACAAATCGAATGCGACCCATCGAATGTAAACCTTGACGTGTGCTCATAATCGCCTGCTCGCGAACAAGACCATGGCTGCAACAGCCCATGGATCTCGTCATGCTTGCAGCACAGTCTTGCGATTCTAACTCGCCCTACCAGTGTGTCTGCCTTACGGGTCTTGCGAACGTTCTAAGCCAGGAAGCCAAGCCATGGTGCTCTGTTGCGCGCGTCAAATCGGTCGACAATGTAGCGGAGAAGTGATGCCCGCCCAGCGGCATGGCATGAGTTTTGTCCTTTCAAAGGTGCCCTTATTGAGTCGATAGTTTCAAGGGAAAACCACGTTTCGCGGTCTACCGGTAAACACCGGTAAACCATGTTGCGGAAATCTCTTCCGTCGACGGACTCTTCGGGTGGAGCCTGGTGGTTTGGAGGTCTAAGTTTCCCACTAACCCCCTCACCAGCGGTTCAACTCCGAATCCAAGCTAGTCCCAAACCAAGCAAGAGTTACCTGAGGTCGTGATCTGCCTACCCGAGCTCTTAGCAATGGGGCAGAAATGGATCCGATCGATCTCGCGGGCGATGGATGCTCGGAGCGGGATCCTTTGAACGGAAGCCGAATCAATCTCTGGAGGATATTGACTTGGTTGACGTTGCAGCTAAGTGGGGATTTCCCACTAAACCGCAATATGCAAAAATGCAAAATGTTTCCAAACAACAACCACGTTGAGGAGGTCAAGATTGGTTGGAGCTGGCAAATGCCTATGGCCGGTCATTTGGGCAGGCTTTGCCTTTTCCACTGAACTGAACCGCCTCCCTTTTTCAAGCGTTTCAACAAACTGACCGGGGGGGGCTGCAATTTTTTGTCCCAGCAACAAAAAACATCTAGCTTCTACACTACTAGGTCCTCCAAAGTTGGCACCTAGCTGGGGGACCTAGACTACCACCAATCCAAGGCTACTTCTTCATCCCAGTGGACAACTCCACCCCACCGCGCCTCCTCCGCCTTGGCGATCTCGCCGCGCTTCCGCTCCAAAAGGAGAGCCACCTGCGAGACGCTTGCGCGCGCAAACGAGGCCCGCCGTCCGTGGGTAGGGGGAGGCTTGCGCCCTTCTGGTTGAAAATAGATGGTTCAGGGATTCAGGTTTTGTTCTAGTAGAAACCTATTGACTTGTAGGGCTTACTGGAAAGAAATCTAGAACCTCAAAGGGTTAGCCTGGCAGATCATGAAACAACCATGTCAACCATGAACCGCGATCTTGGTTCTACCAAAACAACCGAAAAATGACACCTATGGTGTCACCTTAGATGGGGGAAACGGGGAAATCGGGTGGAATGTTCAACGTGTGCTTTGGGCTGGTGGTGTGGAGCAAGTGGTGGGTTGGATCTGTGGGGATAGAGTTTCCCATTCTGGTTTCAAACCAATCTTGAGTTCCAATCCCCAAACCAATCCAAACGCCCTATATAAGGGGTACCTGAGTTTGGGCATTGAGAACCTCCCAAAAAACATGGCAAAAAATCGTTTAGAGCATCCCTGGTTTTGGGTCTCGGAGCTCGGGTCTTTGTCTTGGCTCCGAATGTGTGGAATCGTCAATCTTCAATGATCTGTTTCGTCCCCAAAAATTTGATCCCCTTTAAAGCTTCATGGATCTACATCCAAATAAAGATAAAACTCCAGAGCAAACATAGTGAACACAACATAATATGTAATCGTCTTTTTTTACTTTAGCTGATAAATGTCTTCCACTCAGATAATTATTGAAACCGTATCGTGCTTATTTCTTAGCTTGTTTTTAGCAAGCCTTTGTTCAATTTATTTTCCGTTTATTTTTTTAGTGGGACATAGAATATGGATTTACGCTTTGGCTTCAATTAATTTGCGGATTTGGGACACTCTCTGAGCTCGACAAGGTGAGACTATTTTCAGATAGACAGAAGAAAGAGAGAGAGAAGAGAGAAAAGCTATATACATGGTTGGAGAGATTGGTAGATACATGGAGTGCATAAACAAACACATACATGGATAGACTGATAGATTGGATTAGACTACCTTAGGGTAGATTACATTGAGACACAAATGGATGGACGGATGGACGGACGGACGGACGGACGGACGGACGGATGGATGGATGGATGGAAAAATAAACAGATGGATAGATAAATAGGTAGATGAACAAAATGACGGCGAGCCAGCCAGCCAGCCAGCCGCTGTGTTTTCTCACGCTATTTGGGCTTTTCCGGGAATTCTGCGGTTTCTGCAGGTTATCTGGTGATCAGATCTGTGTGCGGGCAGGTGCAGCGCTTTCTGAAGCGCAGATTTTGTGACAGGTGCTGCAAACATGTCGTTCAGGGCGGGTGTGAAACTCATACCCCGAAATTTGGGTACGAAGCTCTTGCATGCCCTGAAGCTGAGGAGCGGTTCCACAATTTGGATGGGACTAAAGTAGGTGGTGGATGGGAGGGGGAGGGGGAGAGAGGTAAAGCACACCAAGTTTGGGAAGCATGGAAAGCTTGTGGAGCCGGTCTGCGACACTTGAGCACTTGTCGAGAGAGCTGCGCCTCTTGCACGGGATTAACTTCGTGGGCTTGAGCCAAAATGGCTACGGCAAACGGCTAGATAGATAGCTAGCTGCAAGATCGCCTGGTGGGTGGATACATACATAAACAAGTAGATAAGACTCAGATAGAGAAATAGATACATAGATAGATAGCGAGGTAGGTAGGTAGGCAGGTAAGTAGGTAGGTAGGCAGGTAGGTAGATAGCTAGATAGGTAGATGGGTAGGTAGGTGGATAGGTGGAGGAGATAGAGATAAGCTAGATAGATATGTGCATACAATGATAGATAGAGTGAAAACAAAGTTAGACCGACAGATGGATTAGATAAGTAAAAACCTAGAGATAGATCGAGCAATAGATAGATAAACAGATAGATAGATAGATAGATAGATAGATAGATAGTTCGATAGATACAGCGATAGATGGATAGACAGATAGACAGATAGACAGATAGACAGATAGACAGATAGACAGATAGACAGATAGACAGATAGACAGATAGACAGATAGACAGACAGACAGACAGACAGACAGACAGATAGATAGACTAGATAAAGAGATACGATAATACAAGGTAAAGTTCTGATAGGTAGGATAAGATAGATAGATACATAGATAGTTTGTCTCTTGAAGAATTCAATAGGTGGGTAGATAGATAGGTGGATAGAGAGCTAGATAGTAATTAGATGGGTAGAGGGATAGAGAGACTAGGTAGACAGACGAATAGATGCACAGACAGATAAATAGAGAGACCCCTAGACCCCTAGAAATGGTATTGATTAGATAGATAATTAGATTAGAGTAAATAGATTGGATTAGATTATACAGAGAAGATTGGATTAGATTAGATTAGATTAGGTTGGATAGATTAGAAAAAGAATCCGCCGCCTGAACCCAGTTGTGCAATCCGTGCAAGCAACTGTCAAGTGACAGATTCCAGTGTACGCTATGGCAACCGCAAACGAGGAACACTTAAGGGATTCGACCCGCCCCCGCCCACGGACTTTTGCCTTGAGCCAAATGTAAGTATGCAAACAGTTCAGGCTAGGAATGGAAACCTATGGCACTGCGATTCCGGGGCACATGATCACACTGTAGAGTATGGTCCAAATGACCATTTGAGTTGATGTTATTCTTCTCCCCCCTCTCTACATCGATTACACTACCAGTGGGCCTGAGCTGCCAGCCGTATGCTGGGTTCGTGCAAAAGTTCTTGGTGGTAACTGTCAATGCGTCCAAAGCAGTCACAACCACTAATATTGTTGTAGGCTGACACATCACGGTGTGTGTCCTCTGCCTTGTTTGCGGTTAAGGTGATCACAAGTGTTAGCATGCATTCACAAGTAACCCCCCTAGTCGGATGTCCGGTGGGTGCGACACAAGCGGGCGAACACACGAAGTTATCCTCACAAGTGTCATTTCGAACACGTTTTGGGTCGCTGAGTCCTATCGAATCCGGTGCTTTTGCGCACGGATCCAAGATGGCCTACAAACATACAAGCTAAACTTACTGTGGTTTTTTGATCCTGCTGCAGCTTGAAACCGGCCATGGAACGCTTCACGGTCTCGGGCACAGACGTGGTCATGCCGAGCAACCTGAGAGCATTTTGCCAGCCCTGCTGCTCAACTGCTTTCGTGAACACGTCTGCGATCTGGTCAGCAGATGTCACATGTTTCAGGGTACGGCCCGGAGAAGCAACCACGCCACTCAAAGAACCTAAGTTAACCTTATGAGTACGGGTTCTGTGTCTCAACTTTTGGCTGAATCCTGAGCGCACGATCTTCTCGGTCGCCTCGTTGTCCTCGTAGATGATAGTGTGAATTTCTATCTGAAGGACTATGCTCCACAACACTTCCATGGGAAGTGCCTCTGAGAACACACCAAAGGCCATGGCAATGACCTCTGCCTCTGTTGTTGACCGAGAGACTGCAGTTTGTTTCTTGGATGCCCAGCTAAGGGGCCACACAGAGTTTGGACCACGTAACTGCAGCCATGCGCCACTGGTTGAATGGGCGCAATCAGGGCTGATTGAGAAGTCCGAATCTGTGTATATCTCCAGCCACAAGTCCTCCGGCGAGTCATTTATGTACCCCACCAGAGTGTAGTCTGCGAGCTGGCCTTTCTCCTCCCATTCTTCTGGAAGGATTGATCCCTTCGGAAGGAATGGAGTTGGAGCTCCTTTGATGTTCTCTGCACCACTGAGTTTCAAGTACATTTCAACAGCAGATTTCATGTATCCCCGACGTTAAAGGCAATGCCCTCTCTACCATTTACTCTGACAAGTTCGTGGTGCCCTACCCAAATCACCGATATCCTGGATCTCGATAACTTTCCCCAATTCCTCCCAAAAGGGGGTGTGTGAAGTGATGCTTCCTGAGAGCAGCAAATCATCAACATAAACAGTCAACAAGAGGTTTCGTTCCTTGAAGAAAAATGTTGAAGGATGCCCATCCACAGGCTGGCCCCCTAGCTTCGCGACGGCCCGTTCGAGATAGAGAGCCCAGTGTGCGCCCGACTCCGGATGCCCGTAAAGGCTTTTGCGTAGCCTTATCAATGGCTTCTTGTACGTACCTTTCCAAGATTCCGGCCATAATTCCCAAGGCAAACGCACCCATGTTTCATGCAAACTTCCTAACGGAGCTTGTACATATGCTTTCACAACGTCGGCGCTAGTCGTAGTGCTGCCGGGGAGCTGTCCAAAGGCTATCACAGCGTTAGCGGCTGTGATAGTAGCCGGGGATGCTGACAGACTTTGGTAGATGGCGAGAGCGCCATTCTGGTCTTTAGCATTGTCTCCTCTGTACACTATCCTCCCTTTTAGCTGATGATACTCTTTTGGCAGCTCATCGTATTTACGACTGCATATGGACATTATGTCTGCGATATGCACAGTTTTGCCGGCTAGCTTGGCATTGTGCACGATGTTGGTATGCTCATCGACCGAGTTGAGATCCCACGTGTCTTTGCCGGTTAAGCCGTCAAACTCCTCTCTGACTTCTGCTACGGCTTTAGGATCTTTTATCAATTCCTTTCTATCTAGCAATTTTGTTACAAGTGCATACGAGTCCAACTCAAGTGAGTCCTTGTCACAAGATGGATCCTGCGTCGCAATCGCAGCAGTCTTGCTGGAAGATGCCTCCGCTGAAGGAGGAATGCATCCTGGATCCCATGGCCCTTCAGTGGAACGAACCCTGGCGTTGGTGGCACAGGCACAGGAGTTTCTGGCACAGGTGCGTCTGATGACTTTTCGGGTTTGGTCTCTGTTGGCGAGCTCTTGGGATATAGCGTATCAAAGCGATCTGCACTCCTGTGAGTGGCGAGTGGTGCCGTTGTCACAACCTGAGCAACCTTTGGTGAATCCATGCTCTATAAGCCTACCGAAAGTGATGTACGAGTGTCTGGCTTTTCCCCCATCTTTTCCTGAGTATGGTACCGCATCAATGGCAACTTCATACGGAAGTACCCCCCTTTCAAGTGATCTGTCAAACTC